GACTCCCTGCCAGCTCCCAGATCAGCAGCAATAGTTAAATTTTTCCGACTCCAGCAGCTGCTGCTTGCGGATCGCCCGCCTCAGAAGCTCACGAGGCGCTGCTCCTGCTTTTTGGAACGCGCTGTAGGACCTTTTGATTCTCCTTTATGCGTATCAACCACAAACACTGCATGTAAAATGGCTACTTCTGCTGACCGAAGCACGTCGCGTCCGGTGTGAATGTAGCATTAGAGTATGGGGGTATTATTGTTACAATATTATTTACAAATATGCATTAGGAGTTGTATATCCGTATCTGGATTAGTGGGTGCAGTGGGATTTGAAAATGTGTGAGATTAGTGTGTCTGTACAAGAATCTGTACACGTGTAAAATAACTTGTGTGTAATCCGATTTGCAATGTGTAAAAAAAAACTCACTAATATGTATTCAGATCTACAAATGCTTAATAAGATCAAATGTGTAGACCAGTCTGTAAACACACAGTCCCGTAAGTCTGAAGTATTTTCTCTTCAACGATAAGAAATCCAGAAAAATCATTGATTACAAGTCCAGCGGTTTCTCGGTTGGCTCTCTTTACACACGTGATATTTGCTACATTTCGGCTGTGTTAGATCTGCATATGCGTAGAGAGGATTCATATCTGTAATATCTGTATTTGCTGACCTGAGTGAAGGTTGCATTATTGCAAAAAAAGTTGCTTACCCATGGATTATTTGTAGCCTCAAAGGTCCAGTCCCCCTCGCTGTTAGGAGCCATCTTTCCTTGACAAGTGAACTCTCATAGCAGGAAAAAAAAAAGGAAGGAAGATTCAGCCTTTGAGCAAGTGCGCCTGTGAGCCTGCACTCAGGGCAAAAATTCCAGATATTACACATATGAATCCTTACTTCGCATTTGCAGATCTCACATGACAGAAGTGTTGCAAAAAACACGTTTAAAGTGAGCCAACCAAGAAACTGCTTGAATTGAAGCCATTTTTCCGTATTTCTAGACATTGAAGTGAAAATAATTCAGACTTAATTGTCTCTCTGTCTTTACAAAATGATCTGTGCATTTGCAAATCTTAGTGGATTTCTTACACATTTGCAAAAAAGATTACACACAACTTATTTTACACATTTGCAGATTCTCGTACAGACACACTAATCTCCTCACACATTTTCAAATCCCACTGCACACACAAATCCACATACAGACACACAACTCTCCGCACATATTTGCAAACAATAATGCAACAATAATATTAGAGTTTAGACAGGCATAAGGTTTCCTTACAATTTCCAATTCCAGCATTTGGAAAACAGTCCACGAGGAGAGGAGATTGAAAATTCTGCCACTATACGCAGGCCTGGACATGAAAGAGTTCACCCAGAGGGAAGCTAAAGAAAAGTTTGCTAAACCTTAAGATGCCACCATATAAGCAGCAATCGGTGACATACTTAAAGGAATAGTACACCCAAAACATGATTAGCCTTCATTTTCTACTCACCCCCAT